TATGAAACCAATTCCCCACCACTCACCATACACCTCCCCCGCTGCAACAAAGCCTTGATAAAAAAGAGATAATATTAAAAACTAAGCACAAAGGCAGGAAAAGCAAATCGGTTCTGAGTATTTTTGGAAAGACATATCAGCTATGTTGCTGCCATCCTGGAAGCTCTTTTGAGAGATCTAGGTTTCATCAGTACCATGTCAAGCAGTATCCTGTGCAAGCACCAGCCTTAAATAGCATCTTTGTTTAGGAGTTGCATATACGAAGACCTTAAAAAGGTTCAAACAGCACAGTTGCCGGTAGGCTAAATAAATATATGCTTTTAAGGCTCCTTAAAAGACTGGCTGTAGTCAACAGCAACTTCTTGAATATTGCAGGGAAAATTAGAAGGGCATGTATTTCAACATATGCTTCCCTAATTCCTTCTGGAATGGAAAAAAACTGTGTTCAGAAGCAGATCTCCAAGTGAAGACAAGACACGGTGATCTGCCCTTTTCTGCTTCTGCTTAGCTTTAGCAGGCTTTGTCTTGCTTTTAACTTTAAAGTCTATTATTACAGTAGGCAAAATATCCAAAACCACTGGGGCAGAAAAGGTAGAGAACCTTCTGCCAGCATCCACCTTTGGTTTTTGAACTGGACTGCCTTATAATACGGTACCATCAACACACCACGTCAAGCCTATGGTTTTAATAAAGGCTAATTAGAGTAGGTTGGCAAGCACGTTCAAAGAAACATAGTTTTATATGTTAAATAGGTTAAAGCCCAGGAGCCAAAAATACTGTTTGGTAGACAGGAACGCAGTCTAATCATGTGAGAATATGGCTGGGAATCTGGTAAGCTAGCATATTTTCCTACCACCACCCACAATTTCTTTCACAAGGTCTCCTGTGTGATCACAAGGCTTTCCTTTACACATATTAGAAGTAATACTTGTAAATATTTACATGACATAGACTTGTTTTGCAGACAAAGTGCCTGCAGGATGACATCAATTAGTAGCATCTTTCCTGGGAGACACTTCCTGTGTGCAAAGTCAGGGTATGATGAAAAATGTTTAGTTGTGGGCAAGGTCAAACAAAAGGGTCGATTAAAATGGAGCTATACATTGAACAAACAAAACAGACCCAATCTCACAAGGAGGCCAGTGGTTTGTTTGAGCTTCTAGGCAGCTCTAGGAATTTTATTCTTCTAATATGACAGACTGATGGTAAACTGAAAATTTTCTCACAGTTACAAGCTCAGCGCCGACAAGAAGCATCTGGAATCAGGTTTCTGTGTCATGTAAAACCGGCTCTGTCTGTCTTTTCCTGCTGCTGCGTTTTGTTTATAGCCTGAGCAAAAGCATTGCTCCTGTCAGCATTACTCTTTCTTATTATCGTACCATAGAGTTTCAAATTTAGTGTTGCTCTGTTCGATGACCTCCTTTCTCTATAGGCAGAAGACTTTAACTGTAATTTAGTTTATACTCTGGAGTATAATATTAAATGGTTATTTTAGAAAGCATGTATTTAAGCCACACTAACTTAAAGACTGAGCAAATTTCAGGGAAAGAAATCCTCAACATCTCACAGCAAGCTATAATACTGCCATCACATCACACTACTGTGCTGCTTTGTATTTGGTTGCTGCACACAGATCCATCCCCCAAAGCTCCGTTTGCTACTGGCAGTACTGAGCACTGTGTTCAGAACAAAACTGACTGCCAACGGGCAAATTTAAAAACATTCCCGCTTTAGTTTCTTTCACCTACTTGTCAGTGGAAATGAAACACATCTCCGATTCCACTGTATAAACATTTTATTTAAGAACATACTGAGATCCAGCAGGACTTGAGAAGAAAATCCAGTTCTGTTACACAACACACTGAAAATCCTTTGCAAGAATTTAAGAAGAATGTTAAAAAAAAAAAGATATTGCATGTTACACGTGTATGTTTTCAAGAAATACTGAAATTATTGAATTAGTTTGCTTGGTTTTGAAGGACTTTTAAACTCTAAGCACTTTTGGCAAAAGGTCATTCCAAAATGTTCTTTTTCACGATTTCTCATACCTTCCATTAAGGAACATCTTCCTCTGAAGTACATCAAGATGCCAGAAATGAAAATCTGCTTCTTCAAGTCACCAATCAAGTCACTGCACATTCTCAGTCTCCTGCGAATGTGAAACAAATGCATTCTAGCCTATCTTCATGGTGGCCTCAACCATTTCTTTAACAAAAAGGTAGCAACAGGCCAGAAGAACACCATTAATCACAGAACCAACCATTGGCAGAAACCACCATTTTCTCCCTTCATGCTTCCATCCCATTGGTATCTTCTCCCTTCCTTCTTTGCTTTTATCCCTACTGATTCTGTAGTGTATTGCTAGGTGTGGGCTGGCTTAGAGAACGAAAGCAAACCTCTGATTTGAAATTGAGGTTTCTGAGGTTTGCAGGATTTGTAGATCTACCAGGAAACACTGCATTATGTAAGATCAAACATACACGTAATATCATACATGCCTTTAAAAATACCACTACTCCAAATCCTGATTCATGTTCTGCAGCCTACATATGCTACTTTTCTATATGATACAGAAATAATGTTAATGGCTAATATTAAAGAATTCATTTGCATATAAAAGCCTGATAAATATTTTATAATTCTTTACGGACGTCTTCGTAAAACCTACAGGAAGGTAACTTAACGGCCGGATGCGCACAGCTGAGTCATTTCTTTATCTCTCTGTCCAGATGTTGTCATAAGGGAAAATACAATTGTTCTAATCAGGCTAACATTCTGGCAAGTTTCCTCTGAAGCTAAGAAAAGTATTTTATTGCATGTAAGATGTGTCGATAGAGCACCCTCTTGCATTAGGAATACAGCATTACAGGATGTTGACCAGTGGAAAACGGCAGGGTACTTGCTCTCCTTTGGATCTAATTTTAAGTTAACATACATTTCTACTTCATATATTAGGAAGCACAGAAAAAAAAATATTTTAGCAGAAAGAAAAGTATAACATCCTAAGGAACAGTGGGAAGAAGAAAGGACATATTGGCAAAAAGTGAATGGCTAAAGTCTTCTCAGGGTTTCTGCTAGGGTCTTGTGTATTGATTTAATAGAACAGTTGCATCACACCATGAATGTTTGAACCTTGGCTCCAACTCGGCCAGGGCACAATGCGAGGTACATTTCGGCATGTAGCACATACAAACTTTCATATTAGTTATCAAAAGTACTTACTTTATATGACTGTAAAAAGCTTTGTATGTGACTGTATATATGACTGTAAAGCTTTGTAGTTTCAACTGACAGTTCACGCTGTTAAATGATTTAAGTTATTTTTATTTTTAACCCATTTCCAGATTCTTGCTGTCCTTCCTTTAAAATGACAAATCACACCATTTCAGATTCATACCTCCAGGATAACTGCAGTAATATGCTTCCTCAAAGCTTCACTGAGCCTCACTAGGTGCTTCTTTGTTTTCTTGAAAAAGATTTTTTTTCTCCTCCTTAGGTAATTCATCGTATTTCTTTACAACAGCAAACTGTCTCCTCCAAACCCATACTGGTCAACTCAGTATAAGCCTTTCTTCAGCCTAGAGTGCAGCACATTGCTTCTTAAGTGATCTTTTCATCTCCTTGCTACTCTTCTACGAACAGGAGGTTGCCGAGCAAGAATGTGTTTTGTTGCATGTTTCCCAAGGGACCTCACAGGGTTTTGTGTAATATCTAGGGCAAGCATTAGGCATAGTTAAGAACAGATTATTTATTTTTTTTTATTAAATAAGGAAGGAACAGTTCAAACAAAAATGTGGAGCCATTCCCACTTGTCTCCTTCCCTTAAGCTTAGGGAAAAAAGGATTTCTCTGTAAACTTACGTTCATTGTATATCCCAAGCATAAATGAGAAAATATGTTTCTAAAATCAGTGGAAGACTAAATCAGTAAATTTTAAAAATCCAGTATTTTACCTTTTTATCTGTTCTCCAGCTGAAAGTTCATCAAATTTAAGGAAATTAATCCTCATTGGCAGTTTCCTATTCACAAGAGTCATTCCTTCCTTTTTCAACGTTTTCATCACATTGCTTCCAGTTTCTGCCACTTCTTGGTGAATGTGCCTATTACTGCCTCACTCCCTCTTAGGTCTAACTCTTATGCTTGCTAACAGAGTGTTGCAGACAACAATCCTCAAAAAGAAAATCTCATTTAGCTGGATCAGTGACAGCTGTTCCGAGAGTCTATTCAGACCCTTCTGACCTGTGACTCCTGCTAAGGTCTGGACCATCCACTGCAGTAGAGAAAGAGATAAACGCATTTTTCTTTAGCTGACCACGTATTTGTATTCTATAATTACCACAGCAACAAAGCAGCAATGAGTATGATTTTAAAAAGAAACACTAGGCCAATGGTAGTGGAAAAAATTGCAGAAATGGTTTTGATGGCACATACAGTCAACAGGTGTTCTCCAGTTCTTCAGAAGAACTGGGAACTGTTGCAGCAGTGAGTGTTATGTCCTGAAGACATAAACAATTTAAAAAGAAGTAAAGTAAAAGGGAAAAAAGTGAACTATCATAATGCAGTCCTGTGAACATTCTGTGCGTCTCCTGAATGCCTTTGGTTCCTCTTCAGTGAGCAGGAGCCTTGATTTAGCAAAAGATTTCAAGTTCTTCAACACAAGATGACTTAATGCATGAATGTTTCCTGGATATTCAGCCTTGATTTAGCAAAAGATTTCAAGATCTTCAACAGAAAATGACTTAATGCATGAATGTTTCCTGGATATTGATTCAATCGTATAGTTAAAATGGGCTATGAAAGACCTGTTGGATCAATATCTAGGAAAAACAGATATTCAACCATTCAGTGTCAAGTCCTTAATGCTTAGAAAATTCAGTCTTACACTTTGCAATTTCATAAAGTTTTAATGTATGAAAATAGAATCGTTTATTTGTCAACATTTGCAAAAAATAAACTGCATTCACTTTAAGTTTTCTTTACTAGTGAAGCAACAAAGAAAATTATAACTTATATACTTTAATAAAACAATGAGAAAGGGATTAGCATTCTTAAGTTAACTTTAATTTGGTGGTTTGCAAGTACTTGGCAATAAAATCTCATTTTCTTCCTAGTTTTCCTTTTACAGCAGGGATAACTAAAGCTTTTTCATATATTATAGCACACTTGTCCTTCACAACAGAGCTACTTTCCAATTCACAGAAAAGTGAGTCTTGTATCCAGCAACACATAACTAGGCAAAACTTAACTGAAGTCCATTCAGCACATTCAGTTCCCAAAGCACAGTGACATTAATGATTAACTTCTTCAGGCACACGGAACGCTGTAAGCTCTTCTGAAGCAAAACGCTTCTAACGCACAGAAGTCGTGACCATGACTTCAGCTGTGCAAAAGCCTTCTGCTTCTATAAAACACAGATGGATACTTCATACTTTCCCAAGACTTTTCTTAATGAAATATCCCACTAACTTCTGCGGTCTCTGCTGATACTCCACAAGCACATCATGTGAGCTACTAATCTGATCCCCTTCAAGCCGATTCAGAAGAGTGACACACACTACGGCAGCTAGAAATTAAAAGACAGCATTAGTTAAGAATGATTCTGGCACTTCTACAGTACAAAAGCATAAACGTTTGGACGAACAGCTAGAAGATGGGAAATATGAGAGAAAAACCCCCAAAAAACGGTGCACTATAAGACGCTAGGGGACTAGCATGCTGCAGATGATATAAAAAAAGTTACAAATTGTTTAAGACAACTGATTGCTACATTAATAAAGCAAGCGTCTAGCAGCTGCAGACACTTATTGCTATATCATAATTCTTATGTTTTTCTGGACAGAAATTATATTTCACAAGTACGCAAGACTTGACTGGTAGGAATTGATCAGAGACACTGTTCTAGCAGACAATTACAGCCCTCTGCCATCCACCTTATCCCCAACTCAAATCCCTGTGCTGTAGATGCCACCTCTCGGACACCTGCAGATGAGTCGCTTCAATATCCATGGATGGGGAGAGCAGCAAACACATGAGAATCTCATGGATCATCTCAGGCATATCTGCTGCCTTTTGGTAATCAGAGCCCCAAAGGTAAAATCTCTCCTTTCACTCCAGCTGAGCTCTACAATCCCTCTTCTGTATCTGGGGTTTCTGTTGATGACAATTTGCAGACACAAGCAGTTATACACATTACAGACCTAGAAGGTAGAGTCAGCAAAGGACCAGGCTCCCTGACGGCTCAGTGGTAACACGGGCTGGGCTTTTAATCACTCTCAAGTCAGTAAGAATTGAGGACGTTTGAGATAGCTTTTGGCCTTTTTGCTTATTATTCTTCATCTTGTCCTCCTTGAGTTTAAGGAAGTTTGAGAAACATCAGTGTTTTAAACTGGCAAACTCCTTGCCATAGAAAGTGAGAGACTATAGCTAACATGGTAAGAAGAAAGGCACTGTATTATGTTATTTGTAATCACTTCTTTTTTCCTAATCTTTACTGAAAATTTGTTTGTGTAAAAAAAAAAAAAGAAAAACTTGTTGAAAAACTCCTAATCATAAGATTAGGAATTGTTTATTCATGATGCTACTAAAAATCTTTAAGTGTTTAAGAATTAAAGCCACAAGTCTACATAAAATACATCTATTTTCAATTTGATATGAAAGTATCGAAAGTGATTAGAGTTTTATGCGTATGAGAATCACTTGACTGATTAAATTGACCAGTTGCTTCCAGTAAACTTCAAAAACTGACAAACACAACTTAATGCTATAGGGTAATTAGGTACTTTAATGATTTATGTGCTTGCCACAGGCTGGAATAGCAAATGACAGGACTAAACTGTATAAGAACTATGTGTGAGGAAGTTTGCATAAGTTTTGAATACATGTGACACAAATCATACAATCATAGCAACAGAACGATAACCAGAACTGGTTTTTTTATACGCAGAAGGTACGTTAACACCTCAGTCGCAATTTTTACCACAAACGCCCTGCAATGCAGAAAACTTCCTATAGAATCATAGAATGGTTTGGGTTGGAAGGGACCTCAAAGATCATCTAGTTCCAACCCCCCTGCCATGGGCAGGGAAATCCTCCACTACACCAGGTTGCCCAAAGCCTCATCCAACCTGGCCTTGAACACTTCCAGGGATGGGGCATCCACAACTTCTCTAGGCAACCTGTTCCACTGCCTCACCACTCTCAATGTAAAGAATTTCTTTCTTATATCTAACCTAAATCTGCCCTCTTTCAGTTTAAATCCATTGCCCTCTGTCCTATCACTACACACCCTTGTAAAAAGTCCCTCTATAGCTTGAATAAAGTAACTTTAAGTTAGTTTACCTTTGACACCGCTGAGATTACACATTGCAGCAAATACGGACGACTCCATCTCTATGTTTCTGACGCCAGAATCATAAGCTTCCTTCAAATATTGCAGTTTCTCTTCTTCGTTATATAAGCAGATTGCACCATCCAATCTGCCCTGTCCTACAAAGCAATTTTGTATAAATTTTCAGTGAACTCACGTAACAGATTCAGTTTCTAAAACACCCAGTTATTGCAGTTTCCCCTATACAGTGTCCAGCTTTTACTACTGCTTTTTAATATGCAAGACAAATAGGAAAAAGAGATTCTTAGATATTTACAATATTAATTGTATTTTTATAATGTGAATCACAGTAATTTAATCGGTCTTCTGCAGCTCAAATCCTCAAATTCATAAAGGGGAAAATGTAAGTAGCAGTTCCCCACATGCGGGATGTGTCAAAATTCAGCAACAAACTTGAAGCTGTATGGAAGTGCTGCATTTTTCCCACGTTTAATCATCATCTAGAAAAACTGTCAAGCTTGAAAATGCCTTCCTGATGCTACCTTAAAGGATGGACATTTTATTACTTACAGACTCTCTAATGTAAGAGATGAGTCTTTTAAGCTAACTAGCTAATACTATTACCATTTTTTGAGAAAATTCATATATTCAAATTATTCAAAACTAACACAGATAAAACAACAGCAGGTTATGTACTGTAAAATTAAATCACGCAGTGTTTTATTCAGTATTTTTTTTCTGTTTTCAGGAGATGTACTCCTAAATTAATGCCCTTGAGACTGTTCTTAATTTTTGCTGTATGAGTTGAAAACATTCCTAACACTTTTTCTTAGTGTAGCTTGCACCTGTGATTGGTGTCTGAGAAGATACTCAAACTGACAGCGTCTGTTTCTGACCAAGCTTGAACAGTATTATGAAGACCACGAGTTTCCCTGCCCATTGCACCTTTTGTCACCTATCCAGTAACAGCTAGAGAAAATAGTAGTAGGTGCCATCCACATTCTTTTCTCACAAGACGTGAAAGACGTTTGCAAATGGACTTGGGAGATCAGAAAAGCACCTGAATGTCTATGCATTTATCCAAAGTAAGCATTGGAGGTCTGCCTCTCCTACGTAGCAGCATTGACACAACTCAGCAAAATACTGTCTTCAGTTGTCTGATCAATGTTTTGCTCAAAATGTCCTTGGGAAAGAAGTTCATAGAATCATAGAATGGGTTGGGTTGGAAGGGACCTCAAAGATCACCTAGTTCCAACCCCCCTGCCATGGGCAGGGACACCCTCCACTACACCAGGTTGCTCAAAGCCTCATCCAACCTGGCCTTGAACACTTCCAGGGATGGGGCATCTACAACTTCTCTGGGCAACCTGTTCCAGTGCCTCACCACCCTCAGAGTGCAAATTTTTTTTCTTATATCTAGTCTAAATCTACCCTCTTTCAGTTTAAATCCCTTGCCCCTTGTCCTACCACTACATGAGTTCTTTTCACTGAACTGGAACCTTAATGTTAAAATATTAGTATTTATCTGTTGCTGCTTACATATATATTTCTATTATTCTGTCACCAGCCTTACCTTCATAGAAATCCAAAGTGCACATAGTGTTTCCAATGACTGTATTGAACTGATTGATTTCTTTACTGCACTGCATCAGTTCCTTAGCTAGCTGTTCATCTAGGTTTGTACTGCGAATTACAGTCTTTCCCAGAACAACCTGTTCGAACTGAGGTTTGAAGGTGGCATCTACAGACTGCCTAGTTATAACCACTGAGCCTGGCTCCAGACCTGCAGTAAAAAAAAAAAATAGATAAAGCTTCATAATGCAGTTAATGCTTTTGTTTCCACAAACATAAAACATACATCTTGACTCAGTCCTGCTTCTTTTAAAGGTGGTGATTTTGCCCTTGAATTCACCAAGAGATTTTTTTTTTGTGCCCGTCTAGCTGCTTCCATTTATTATAACAAATAATTTTTGAAAGAACGAAATTTTTACTTTTTCACTATATATTCTTTCTTATCTCATACTTTTCATAAAGGACAGGAATGTCCTTCTCCTCACTTTGTCAGACCTCTTAAGTGCATTTTCTCTATCCAGAAAGGCAGATATTGCCTTTTCATTCAAAATTGCTGAAGCAAAACGATTCATCTCCTGCAGAAAACTGTTCTGACCATCAGTCACTTGCTTGCAAAGAGATGCTTTACTCTCCTACAAAGATGTTTTGGTTTGAAGAAAAAAGAAATCAAGAGGGGAAATACCTATTCCACCAGAGGTGCCAATGCGAATAATGGTTATGTTGGAACACTTGGCATGATACAACAGTTTGATCAGCTCGTGCAACATGATTGAAATAGAAGGAATGCCCATACCGTGCTGAAATGAAAGCAGAAATTCATACTCGACATTCACATAGACAATGTAAAATATATATATGGAAGAACGAGCTGGACAATATCTCCTTCCTACTATTTTTTTTTTTCAAATGTCACTTAACTCACTCCCACAAGAACCCTAACCTACAGGCCTACTGAAAGGCTACTGCAGGTAAACAGAAAGACTCCCACTGACTTTGGTGGACTATGAAGTAGAGCATTTCTAAAAATCATGAATTATAAAAAAATTACATTCTCAAAAGTATAAGCAGTATCTTTTCCTAATAGTTGACAAATGCACTTCATCACAGAAGTTTTCTTAAACACAAGAAAAACCCCGCTCTGATTCTTTACCAACCTGAAGTGCTCATGAATAGCTAAGCTAAAATTTTTCAAAACACAGACATTGTGGTTTAGTCACAAAGTTCAGCAAATATAAGTCTGCCTCAACTTACATGATAATGCAATAATTATAACTCAAAGGAAAGCGTGTAGCATGATACTACAGGTATGCAACTGCAACTGAAGTAATCGTATTTACAAAATAAAGGTATGAGGTTTTAAAAATACATATATGAGTTGGCAGCACAAGTCCCACAGAATGCTGCTCTTAAGATACATTAGCACATTGGACAATGCCACTGCAGATACTTAGCTATGGATGAGACACAGTCATTTTTTCCAATACCCCACATGCATTGAGCAACCTTCTTTTCCTCATTGTTCAGGATACAGAACAAGGATAAGGCAACAGTTAGTCTGCTCAAAAATTTGTAATGCTATCCTTGCAACAGCTCAGTGGTACACTGAGGAATGAAGGTCTCAGAGATCTGCCCTTTTAAAAGAAAAGGCTAAAAAGGAATTCTTAATTAGACAACCACAAGGTTTACACAAACTTAAAAACCTGACTCCATCTATTAAGCATTTAAAAGAAACGTGCTTTCATATTTTCTACTTTGAACAGCATCACTGAATTGTGTCCCATATGTGGTTACGTGAGGTACTTACACTGACTGACAAAACAGGTCCCACTTTGTACATTGCATAGCGGTCAGTTCCCGCACAGATGTTCGGATAGTCACAATCAGGGCCCCCAAGCCCCAGTTCTTCAGCTATGTAGGAGATGAAAGCTTTCATCCGTGAAGGACTTCCTCCAACACATACGAACTGGGGTGGGACAGTATTCAACAAAACAAAATCAATTGCACGATTCAGTATATCAAAGAACATGCAAAGACCAACATGAGGATGTAAACACTCTCAGTTTACACAAAGCTGTTCCCAGGTGTGGTTCTTCTCATAATCATTCTAAAAGGCCATGAAGAAAAGTTATGCAAAAAAAAAAACCCAACCTGTCTACATAGCACTCAAATGCCTTCATCCTGTTTAATCTAGTAGAAGACAGATACTGATTTGAAAACCTCCTCAAAAGGGACTTCCACCTGAATAGAAACTGCAGCATTTGCCTTTTTACTGGATGAAAAGAGACAGTCAGAAACAATTATCTTCAATTTTGCTTGATATTGAAAGTCACAAGAACCCACAAAACCATATCCCCTTCCCATGCATTCCTCAACTGGCAGTATGCTGACACATTTAGTCTTATTTTGAACACAGCTAGGCTTCCACCTTCAGCAGGATAGCTTAGGCTTGCTAAATGAAATTAAGCTTCTTACCTTCACATCTCCAAACAATGCTGGAAAATCATGGGTACCAGTCCCAAGAGCAAAATGGTAGAGGATGTCTTCTTTCATTTTCTCCAGGTGAGGGTTGCAGAGATGGATAAAATTCTCTCTGACAGGACAGCAGCATTTTGAAACATACAGAATATATACAAACCCCTACATTGAAAAGATGCTAATCTTGCAAAGTCAAGCCATAAAAGTTGGGAAATGCTACACCTAAGTATGCCCGCACTACTTTATTTTGGTTCCTCATGCATTATGTTAAGGTAATGATCACCAATGAAAATTTCAAGACCACCTTAAGTCTCATAACAAATCACATATGATATTGAACATTCCACTCATCGCACATGATGAAATTGCTGAAGAAAAGCCCAGATGGTAGGATGCATTTGCAACAGTGCAACCTTTATCTTAAATATTTAAGCTGTGAACTAGGGTGGGCCTTTATGGTGAGCAGAACAATGGGAGCAGGACCAGGGAATATTCAATAGACCACCTTACCACATAGACAATCTACAGCAAAGCTGAAAAGCAAACTTGACCTCTGTGTTTTGACTGACCCTCCTAGCCACCTAAGAGGACTGTGAAGACTTGGGCTTTATAGACAGGCCCAAAGGGGATTTCTGGCAATTTGGCTCACTAATGCTGTGTCCTCCAGCCAGGAGGTAAAAAAAAAAAAAAAAACTATAAAAAAAAAAATCTATGGCATGAGACAGGTAACAACAGTACAGAGAATATGAAATAGGAGAGGAAAGAAGGAAAGGGAAATTTGAAGCAAAGAGAAAACTATGAAAGAAGAAAAAAAAGCAAGAAAAAGAGAAAGACAGGAAGAGGTGAAAAGAATTCACCTCCTCTTAAGTTGCTTCCTGTAAGGAAGTGATACAGCTTAAAAAGAAAACAAATAAAAACAAAAATTCTGAAGAACCAGGAAACTACAAGGCCAGTCAAATCACCTTCATGGAAAATTTAGTAATGGACTAACTAAGCAAGCTGAATGATTCATAAAACGTCTGCCTTCTGTGCTTGATGTTTTAAGTTCAGTTGAAACAGGTAGGAAAGACTAGTCAATAACCACAAGCTTAAGCAAAATACTGGCCAACACTTCAAAGTAGTTTCTGAGAGATGAAATCAAGCAACAAATATCTTCCAGACACAAGACGATGACTTAATAGCTTAATGAAGGCTCACTGCAGTCACAGCATGGCTCAGCATATTCAAACTGCTTTGTCAGAGTAGACAAACAAAAATGCCTGGAGTTTATGCAAACAATTGTCAAGACTTTGCAGAAACAACTCTGAAGCCTAAACAGAGCCGTTTAGCACTATTTTAGATGGTTTAGGTTGTCTTGTCTTCTAATGCCTCTCCAGAAGGGCAGTGCTTTTCTGTAGGTCCTGTATCTCATCTGCCAATCCTATGGAGGATGTATTGGTTGCCTTAAGAAGCCTAAAGTGGCCTAGATGCCCATACTGAGGTCACCGAACTGTTCCTCAGAAAGCAAAGAAAATAGTTACAACCCCAACATTCTATCAATTGTTTCTGTTCTTTTAAATTCTCTCTCCAATGTCACTAACTATCCAGCAGCAGCTGCACAACCAAAGTCCACCCTATTTGTCCCTGCCCACCACACACTACCACCTTCAGCAACTGAAAAAGCAGGCCTGCAAGCGAGTGGCTTGTTCTCTCCTTCAGTAGTAATTCCTTCCCATCTCCCACGTGCCCCATTTGCCTCTCTTCACAGAAATCCCACCTGAGGGGGAACCAAAGGCTTTGGTTGCCTGTCTTCTCCTCTCCGAGAGACCTGTTTGACTCCAGGAGAAACAAAGAGCAGGTTTATGGCTCCTCAGAAAGGCGCAGACAGCCCAGGAGTTTGCCAGCTCATGCAAGCAGAACTCCCAAGCTGCCACCCCTGAATTACTCCTGTTTGGTTTCGTGGGACTCTCTACCCGTGCTTAACGGGTCGCTCACTAATGCAGATCAAATAGCTGGCTGTGCTGATGTTTACTGGAAAGGCTTTTACATACAAAGAGGATATGATTTGAAATCACTTTAAAATTTATTCTCAGGCAGGCAAAAATATTTCCCTCCTTATAAGAATACCAACAGTAAAAGCTTCTCTCCAGGAAATAAACTGGGAATAGGCAAGGCCTCTATTAAAAGTACAAGGAAATTCATGTGGTATGTGCCAACACCACTGTCCTCACACCTGGCCTAAATACAGCTCCCTTCCTCAGCAGTATCTGTATTTCACCTTTTCCATCTCGTATCCTACCAGCAACACTCTTCAATCCACCACCCCACCGCAGCCAGGGGCTGTTGCTAACTTGTACTGGCTGTCTGCCCATCCGGATTTAATTGCAGACTTGGACCCTGGGGTAAAATGGACAATAAAAGTAGAGCATATTACTATGTGTACATAGGACCAATGCCATGCATTTACAGTAGAGGCAAAGTTTGCCCAATAAAAATCTTTGGCCCATAACTCTAAGGAGCTGACAATTGATTCCTCTCACACTGTTTTAAAGCACCTGCAACTTCTGGGGGTTTAAATGAAAGATTAGTGTCTGAGGACTGAATATATATGTATGTTTTTTTTAGAATAAGCTTAAAGTAAGGATTAAAGAAAGAGATTGAAACATTTGTTCAAACTCTTGAAGCAGGTAGGTCTGGCCATATGCAGCAACCAACATCAACATTTCAACAGCTCACTGGATTAAAAGAAAATAAATAAAAACATCACCTGTGCTTGGAAAAATTCACTGTTGTGATACAGGAAAATGGTTAGCCAGCAAAGCCCTCTGTGAAGGTGTGGTTAAAGCAGATAAAGACTCCATTTGTCAAAACAGCTTCTACTAGATACCTGATGTTATAATCAATATTTGTATCATAAACTTTATCTTAAACTAAATGAGTGTGGGGAGGAAGGTAAGTGTAAACTTCAACAATATAATTCATTTCCAAATCTTACTTTGAAGACTGTTCATCATCAGTTTTCTTCTCATTTGAGACACCAGGAGCCATGTATGCTTACACCTAGAATTATATTTTAAAAAGTAGATGTAAGTACATCACAATAGTTCCATCTGTAAAGCTAGCATCATTAACAGTGATATAAGATTTCTATATAGATGATACAGTCGTGAATATTAAACCCCTTAAATAATCCAGCCACACTACAGCTTTTATAAGTGTAGCAAAATGAGCATCTCCAATTTTTTATGACTGAGTATCACCACTTTCGAACCACTGAAGCCTAAACTAATCCCTTGCTAAAGTAACCCCCATCTCACCACTTCTTCTGTTCTGTGGTATACGCAACACCTGGCTCACAGGCCTAAGAGAAGTCAGTCTCACAGCGAACTACCTAATCCTCTTTCTTCTATACCTCCCACAGCGACAGTGACTGCTGAAGTAGCTTTAGCCCCCTTTCACCTCTGGCTCCAGGTGGTCTCCAAAGCTCATCTCTAACTGCCATATGCCTGAATCCTGAGCTCCAGGAAGCATCTTACTCATAATATCTTCTTCATTAAACTCCTCCTGCTGACCTTAAGAGCATTTCTATCTGCCCCAGCCTAAGGACGAGGAAGACTAAACCAAACATGACTCTAAAAAGTCACAGCACTCTAGTTTATCATCCATCTTGAATATCTTTTTTCCTAATCCATTACCCCAACCTATACCAAAAAACTTTCACTTTCTGCATTTTCTTTCACATTTAAATAGGCAAACTTATCAGCGAGGCTTTGGTGCTGACACGATAACAGAATTGTAATTATAGAATGACTCATTTGATATTATTTTCAGAAGTGACTAAGGCTATGTGCCAAACCTGGTATTTCTGGGAATGCTCTTACAGGAAGTATTGAATCACAAAGTTTTGCTCTGCCCTCCCTTACAAAGGGCATGGCAGCACATAGATTATAACAGAGACAGGATTGTAATCCTTAAAAACCTCAGGGTTACACTACAAGGAAGTGGAAAAAAAAGCAATCTTTCAACAGAATTATATAATACATGAATTTTTAAAGAACTGAAGAATCAAAAGAAATAAACCTGAAGTCTACCAGTTAAAAGTCACCGAACAATGGGAATGTATTAAAATTTATAAGGAACATTGCTTCTCTTCATTTAAAACATTAACCTTTATTAAACAGATCTAAACTCCACACGTACTAGATGTAGTAAATGCATATTAGAATCTATGCTCAAGGAGGTAAAGTATAAAAGTAGCATTTAGAATCAATTCTGTAACCTTATGGCTGCACTATTAGAGCCAGTTACTACAGGGCATCGCTATTATACAATGTATGTTACAGGAAACGTGCATAATTTGTTCCAAGAAAACGACAGTGCTGTGAGTCGTCATAACAAAGAGTTAGAAGATAAGAAGAAGAAACCACAAAGTGATTTTAATGTACCTAGATGACAACTGGCTGCAAACAAACCAGGGATATTCTTTCAGCTGCTGTTCACAGCATTAAGGAAGCACGTGATTTTTAACAGTGGTCTTGGTTCTGTGATGCCCTCAGTAATGATGTACTTCAAAAAACCGAGAACAAAGTTCGGACAGTCCAAAGGTCCAGAATGCCCTCTCCAACAGCACCGAACCAGAGATGCCTTGGCAGGAACAGAAAGGAGCAAGCAGAAAGCAGTTTTCCCACGGCAGACCCTTCCGGCAATCAGGTAGCAGCTGACAGGCAGCCAAATAATACAAAGCCACAAAATTCTCACACTGGCTAAACAAACGGAAATGTTTACAGCCACATCCGAAGTTTCAGCAGTCTCCCTCAGCCAAAGTTAAAACTGATGCTCAAGAATAAAGGCGCCTCCAGCAGCACTCGGCTGCAAGTCTGGCGTTCATTCACCACGAGGAAAACCGAAATCATTGCAAAATTGATTTTGATACCGTGGCTTCCCTCGCACAAGCAATGACAGCTCACTCACGGCGCACATCGCTTCCAGGCGATT